ATCTGGGGAGTATGGTGGATGGTAAAGCACTTCCCAGCCCCATCGCTTGAACAAATCAGTCACAGCTTGCGCTGCATGCGGCCGAGCATTGTCATGCAAAATGAGAGAAACATTCTGCAGAAAGTGTTGCCATTTTTTTCTCAAAGCTGGTCGGAGATTGTGCTCCAAAAATGAGCAGTAATACTGCACAGTGACGGTTTGATGTTGGGGAACAGTATGCGTTAGGATGACACCATCACAGTCGTATACAAGAATCACCGTAACTTTCACATTGCTGGGGTTCTGACAAAATTTCAAACGTCGTGGTGACCCGTGATGACGCCATTCGTTTGATTGGCGTTTCAGTTCTGGCTGGTACGATCGGGCCCAGGTCTCATCCAGGTACGGGTAAAAAAGCATCTTCGCGCTCCAGGTGGGTTCGGGCAGCATCGTATCGTAGCCATTTCTGCATTTCCGTCAATTGATGTGGAACCCATCGTGAAGCAATTTTTCTTATGGACAGGCGTTCCTTCAGAATGTGCAGCACAGTCATATGCGCTAATCCTGTTTGTTCGGCCAGCTGACGAATCATTTGGCGGCGATCACTGTCCATTAGTGCGGCAACAGCTTGCACGTCTGCATCGCCGAAACTTGGACGACCTGGCTGCAGCATGTCTGCCACGTTTTGGCGTTCTTCATTGAATGCTTTCACCCATGTTGCTACGGTTCTGTAAGGCAATGCAGATTCCCCGCAAGCCTCTTGAAGCCCTTGATGAACACTGTCGTGCTGTACAACCTCTGGCACATTCAATTTTTATCCAACATCGTTGTTCTTGTTTTGAAAACATTCTGACAACACTTACTTTAGACCGCGAGCTAATACAAGGATCCGTTCTTCGCGTCACTCTGCATGCACGTGACATAGGCAGGATGAATCTTTTTGCCGAGAGGTAAGGTAAGTACGTAGTTTACGTGTGGTATACGCGATATTCTTTTGTTTTGTTGCGGAGCATTTTTTCAGTCGTGTTGCCACTATTAAAGTTCCAACCCTTGTATTTTGTGTTATGCAAATGTATGGTGCATACTAAGTTTATCCCACTTGATATTACATATAATAATAATTTTATTTTTATCATATTTAAAAGTACTTAAATAAAAGCGTTTTTTTGTGTGCTCAAGATTTTCTCAATATAAAAGTTTAAAACTTACGAAATGAAATTATCTAAAGAACATAAAAGTTGGAATATCTATTTAAATAATAATAGATTTTATATCATATTACAAACAATTCAGTAACCTGAATCATGCCTAATTAAATAATAGATTTTATATCATATTACAAACAATACAGTAACCTGAATCATGCCTTGTAAAGTGAACTTACATTTGGAGTTCTTTTGAAATTGTGAAACTTCCTTGGTTTTCATATTTTAAAGTTTAGCAGCTATACTCATATGTTTAAAAAAAATTATTATTTGAAACATTTTATCGAAAAACAGTAGTTTTATACATTTTTGTATAATTCTTAACATCTGTAACAGATTTTATTTTCTTTACGAAAGAAGTATCATATGGGATATTTTGAAATTGATATGAAAATAACTTACTTGAAGCTATGTCTGTGAGAGAGAGTTTTCCTTAAAGAACTGGTTTTCACATAAGTCAATCAATTAGATATCCCGAAAATGTTTCTTTTGACACAGTGTTCAGGATAGATAGCAGCTGTGAAACTCATTCTACTGGTTTGATTTTTTTTTTCCTTTTAGAATTATTTTCAAGGCAATAATAAACATCAACAATGAATTCATCTAATATTGGTAAATAAGCTGCATCTTCCATAGCTGCTAATTTAAAAAAAAATGAGTATTTACAATATAATTTGCAAATCTTAGTTACCTTTTTTCAAGATGCCTGCAATGTCGGTCTTCATGCCTACCATTGCAGGTAAATTATCTGTACCAAGAGCTAAATAATTATTTAGAGGAATTTAATTTTCCTTCAATGTTTTTAAAATCAGTTGTGCTATATTAAAACCTGTTGAATCTCCTTTCAAGCACAAAGTAAAACTACATTCAACTTCCAAAGCTGCAGGGTTAAAAAAAAAAAAAAAAAAAGTAACAATAACTGGACACAGTTTTGTATCAATATTATTGTTTGTATCTGAAAAAAAAAAAGGCCGAAAGGAGCTGTTTTAAATACAATCCAAAACTGAAGAATTTTTTTAATACTCAATTTTTTTTAACATTGCATTCAATTTTGTCTTTACATGAGTATTTCTAAACAATTTTGTTAATAGGAAATATTTTTCTAAATAAAACTGTAGCCTGTGGGAGGCATTTGGTAGCAGATTGTGCTTTAAGAAAAAGGCAAAAAATATACATTCTGCATTAACGACTTTTTCACGTTTTCTTTCTACAGAAAATTTGAATTTTTCTTAATACAATTTACATTGCTCTTATGTTTTTCGTTAGATATATTTCTTAGAACAGAGATCTCCAAACTACGGCCCACAGGCCAAAACTGGCCCGCCAGTGTCATCAATCAGCCCTGCGATAGCTAATGGCTAATTGTTATTGTTGCTGTGATAAGTTGGATAAAAAAAACACAGAATAATGATAACTCATTTATTTGATAGGTAAAGGTTAATGACAAGTGTTCACTTGTAAAAATACTAATGAGATTTATGTAATTATGATTTTCCACTGAAGTTTGTATTTGTGGACCCATTTTACTTGTACCAATTATTAAAAGAGATTTAAGATACTCATCGGTTAACTTAGATCTGCAAACTTTATTTTGGAGAATGTTTTCTCATACAAATAAGTAGTACAAAAAAACAAAAGACAGCCCACGAGCAAACTTATGCAAAAAATTGTACCAATGGAAAAACTCTTATAATATTCCAACAAAGATGAGTTTTGATATTTGGTCTTAATTAGTATGTCACTGCAATGTAAATAAATAATTTCCAGTTGAAGTTCTGGAGCTACGGTTCCGATGTCAATATCAAAACGATTTTGAAAAATCTTAATTTCATTTGCAATAACATCAAAGTTTGAAAAACGAGTATTAAAATTTATCTTCAAAGCACTCAAAGCTTCGATTGCAAAATCAACGGGAAATTCAGTCTCAGGCTGTGGCTGAATATTGCACATGTTTTAAAATGTGTGAAACATTTTTTATGCAATTGTGTTTTTTTCCAATGGCAGATTGTGGACAATTACAAATGCAACCCAGTCCGTTAATCTATACAAGACCGGATGTGGTGGTCTCTTTATTATGGAGGCACCTAATAGGTGGGCCACCATTGCCTTTTCCTATGAAGGCACGGACAGTTACAACCATGCCTTCTCCGAAATTCGAACCCAGGCCCTTCGGCATCGCAGTCAGCTTCCCTGATCACCATACCGACTGGGCGGTTCGGATGCAATTGTGATTGAAACAGTACTATTTTCTGCTGGAACGATTTGATATTAGTGTACAAATCAAAAGACGGTTAATATAACTTATTCTAAAACTTAAATACTAATTTTGGAACATTAAGAAACAACTGCTTGAGATGATTGTTATATCGTAACTCAGTTAATTCAAGCTGCAAATCCGACATCACTACTTCACAATTTACATTGAAAGGCATGGTAAAAATATCCAATTCTGTTTGAATGGCACTGAAATCTTGAAATCTGCATTCAAACTCAAATGCTGTTTTCTAAGGTCATCTTTTATCTCTTAATCTGTCTTCATTTACTGAGGCTTTGAAATTTAACCTTGCAAAATATGATAAATCATTCTAGATAGCAAACAGATTAAAATTTAGTTTAAAATCGCTCAGCCCAGATATCTGCAATAAATGGATTTCTTCTTTGCATCTTGACATTTAAGTTATTCATATGGCAAATATATTTATATGTAAAATATAAAATATCTATCTTTCAAAAAATAAATTAATAGCACTTTAACTTCTGTCTTCATTCTAAAAATAACAGAGCAATAAATTTTCTAACTAAACAAAAAAGATCCGTCATCTAACCTGAATTGCGCACTTGAGTCTGAACTCAACACCTGTACATTAAACTGCTAAGTGATCTGAAATGGAATGCGGTATAAAAGCTTAATTGCATTACAACTCTCTTCTGTCTTCCCTTGTGTCGCCTTGCTGTTATCCATGCAGAGTTTACTTTTCTAATTTTCATCCTTTAGGAAGATGCAGTCTGTACAAAATTGGGAGGGATGCACCCACAGTGATAATGTGCATTATACAGAAATAAAATTATGTGTAGTATTTACTATTATGCCTGTTCTTCGAGTATCATCTTGCTAACTGCACAGTCTCTAACTAAGCAGTCCTCTTCAATGCCAATCCGTTGCAACTCTCACCAAGTCAATCTTATTTCAATAATAATGCAGTTTTATTATATATATATATATATATATATATTAATTTGCAGTAGGTCAGATATAACCTTCAGGCAAGCCAAAGCTGGCCTATGAGCCCGCAGTTAGCTGATCCTTGCTCTAATAGAATGTCTACATTTTTTTCAGCCTTTTTTTTTAATTACACGATTTCAACCAGGCTTAGCAGATCTTTGGTGTAAACTTTTTGTCAGATGTTGGAATGATACCCTTCTCTAAGACCACGAAATTCTTTATGGAGGAATCTCTGTGCTACTTCTTTCCAAGAATATAACTGCATTGCTGATCATTGTAAACTGGGAATAATTCTAGAATGTGTATAAATTTAGAACATCATGATTATCAAACCAAATTTTCAGAAAAGAACACTTATTTCTTTTACTGAATTGAGAGCTGGTGCAATGTAAAATACTAATACACTCAAATACAGACGTAACACTGCATAGAAGCTTTAGTTGAATGATGATGATGATTAGCACATTTTTAAAACGCTAAATAAAATGTATATTTCATTATTGGGCTTAAGAAAATTCCTTACTGACAGACCTTACTTTTATTGAGCATGTATTCATAAAAGAGTGTATTTCTTGGAAAATTCAAAATTACTCTGAGCAACACACAGTTACTATTTTATTGCTTTTTCTATAAATGCTGTGTACATAGTTATAAAACAAAATATGTTTAAGCAGTGAGTTTCCGAGATTCTCTACAAACATTTTACCCTGTATATGTACTAAAATTTAAAACAAAGAGTTTTTATTACCTAATTTAATAACCGGTTAAAAGCATTTAACAAAAGTTACAACTTCCACAACATTCTTATTGCTTGGCACAATCCAATATCATTATAGTTAAAGTAAAATAATCCACCTAACATGAACACTGATAATGAATACACAACTGCCACAGCTGCCTTAGATAATGTTGCTCCTACTATACTTGGTCGAACGTAGTCAACAGCTATAGCTTCTATCCCCCTGAAATTATAAAAAATCAATAATAATTTTCAAAATTCATCATAGAAAACTGAACATTCATTATATAAATACTAACACACATACACATAGGATGCCCCCCCATAACACAGCATTCCTACAACATGGTTGAGAATTGGAAATATATTTATTTCATACAAATTAAAAGAGGAATATATTCATTGATTGTTACTGAAATAGCAAAAATAATGTTTGTTATTATATGAATAAATATATATTAAAGATATATGCATAACTTTCCTTCTATATATATGTAATAATAGCAAAGAAAAGCTGAAAACCCTATTAATGCGTACTTAGATCCATATTGAAGAGGAAGACTTCTGATTGCATAGTATGCTAATATGTCGACTTGGTAATATCCAAGAAATTTGGCAGTCGAGGCAGTTTTAATTCCATTTTTATTTTCCAGTTGACGTTTGTGGCCACAATCACTTGGCACTCTGGTCGTGCCTTTTTACAGAACATTTACATTTTTGATATTATTGCAATAGCAAACAAGACAGCGAAGTTATATCTTAGCAGGGTACAGAGCGAAGCTGAAGTGCATAGTTATGCAAGATGGAAGCACACGAAGAGAAAGGTTTTGCTTTAAATTATCAGTTCCCAATTATTACATCATCAGCACGCATTGCACAGGCCATGCAAAAAGGAATGATCTAGAAATGATGCAATCGAGAGAAGTTATTACGATTTTTAGAACAAAGAGAGAGAATTAAAGTTTTACAGTTAGTTTGAATTACAATTCTGATTTACATATTTTTTTTATCTTACATATATTTATTAATTTATCTTGGAAAATGTGCTTATCATCTTATTTTTAATTACAGTGTGTGTTGCTTTACAAGGATCTTTTTAATGACCTATAGCAGAAATATGTAATATTAAATTCTAAATTTACTCTTAAGACTTACACAATTTTATTTTCATTAAATTGATATCCATGAATGCAATAAAAATTGCTTTGTTTATCATGCAGAGGGAAACAATGATATCTGTTAGGATATTTTTTGTTATAACTTTTATAACTAATGTTGTTTAAATGTTCAATGTTGTTTAAACCTTTCACATAGTTTGAAAATTTTTAAAGCGCACTTTATTATAACTTCTTATCCCAAATCAAAAGGACAAGTGTTAAATTAAAATATTTATAACAGCAGGTGATCTAATTGAAGTAGAAGCTTTGCATTTTAATCTTAAATAATATATATTTGGAGCTGTGTGGGCTTAAGTAGTTCATTAGGTAAAAGAACCTTCATTGATCACTTGTAGCGATAAATTTCACAGTTAAAAAATCTAAGGTCACTCTAAAATCCTCTGCATTAATATAACTGAAGATATATGCACTCAGATTTTTATCAGAACTTACGTGCATGCTTTATTAGATAAGTTAATTTGTGACATGATACTGGCTGCTTATAGAGTTGAAGTTTGATGACTAACTCTGTTAAGGAGGGGTTTGTTTTGTTAATTATTCCCTCAATATTTAACAAAAGACCATCCAAAATGCAGAAAAATGGCAGTGTTCAAATTCATGTGGTGACTCATTTGATTATGTAAATATGATATTAAAGAAAACAATACTTAAATGTCAGCTTAGAACATTTATTATTTTCATAGTTTTTTAAGCATTGATAATAAATGTGAAATACATTTTCTTAAAGCACATTGAACTAATTAAAAAAATTAGTGAATTCTCATTGAACTAATTAAAAAAATTAGTTCAATGAGATTTACCAGCAGTGTGACAGAATGTTAATGAAAAACTGATTTGCAAGGTGAATTTCACTGTATACAGTTATATTATTTATGAAAAGATCTAGAATTCCAAATGGGGCCCACCAGCGGCCGAGCGGTAAAGTCGCTGAACACTGGTAGTTGGGTCCAAAGTTCGAATCCCGCGAACGGGCTGGCTGCATGGGTGTTTTCGTGGTTTTCCCCATGTGTAACGTGTATACGAGTCAGTTTCCCTTAAAAAGTCCTCCACGAAGGCATCCCTTCCCTTAGGCAGATAGCCCTAGTGTGCTTTGCCATAATTAAATACACCACTAAATACACACCACTAGAATTCCAAATATGATAATGAATACACTTTAATAAAATGGTCTACTACATCGAAAATTTTCAATGAAGTGCAACGTGCAACTTTTTGACTTTGTCCATAAAGCATAGTACAGTACAAAGTCTGTACGTTCAATATCCGAAATGATCTAAAATCCAGACCTCAAAATCACTAACAACTCGTAGGCTTTCCGCATGCGCATTTGATTCCCCCCTCCGCCCATAATAAAACATTTGGAGAGTCCCGATTCTTAATTTCACTTCAACATTAAATAAAATACCTTGTTATTGAAGAAACACTCATTTTAGCATAAATTTGTATGATCAGTAATTTAGCTCCGTTGCTGCGTATCTGCTTGGCACACATCTCAAACCAAAACATTCCACATAGATACATTGTTGATCTGGCGGCGAATCATTATTTATTATACTTTCCTTTCATCACTGAATGTTTATCAAAACATGTTAACTTGAGTAATGACTCACGTAGCGATGCCTAAACAATTTTTTTATGTTAGTAATTGAATAATAAAGGAGTATGGTAACCTTTTATGTTGACAGTTACGCTTGGCAATGATTACAGATTTAAGGAAAATTTACTAAAAATGTTGACACGGAAAAATTTACCAGAAATTTATTTCTATATGCTAAAAATAGATTTTGTTGATGATACTCATAGACCCAAAAATTACATTTAGAGCTATTTGAATTAAGAATAACTGATTTGTTATTCACATAAACCCAGAACCAGCGTCAGGGCTCGTATGGCAGCACAGGGTCGCAGAGACTGCATCAGGCGGTAAGATATCTAGCCAGCCCTTAATAAGGCTTAACTATATGTGAGAATTTATTCAGAACTCTGATAAGCCTTAAGCATGTGCAAGAAATAAACATAAGTATAATAAATAACTAAACTAATACAATTCAGGCTTAATTGTCTCAGTGTGCGATCAAGATAAAATTTAATGGAATAACTTGTCGTTAGTCACCAAGTTCATGATGCATAGCCAAATATGTATAGTGAAGGATAGCTAAATTTAATGATGATAGCCGCTAATTTTAAAGGTTTTCGGATATCAAAAACAAAGGTGAAATTTTTCAATTAATGAATTTTGTAAAGAAATGTGGAGAAGTGATAATAAATGAAGATGATTTAAAAGAAGTTTTTCATTGTGATGACAATGCTTCTCAATCATCAATCAATTAATGAATCACAAAATCTGTAGCATGATTCTACATCCAAAAAATACCACTACCGATAGTGAAGAAAGTGACAGAGAAGTTACCGAAAACGAGAAAATTTTTATTGACAAGTTAGTCGGAATTCTCGAAACAGCAGTTACAAAACTTTAACAGCATAACTAAACAAGAGATTATGTCTGTCTACAGAATTAAAGAGAAAGTATTAGCAGAAAAAATGAAGCAACTTAAACAATTTGCATTGAAAGAAATGCTTAATAAGGTAAACAAATAAATATTAAGCTTTTTTTTTTTAAATTTAGAAGTCAAACAACAAAAATCAGCATTATATTTTCAAATTTTCACAGTACTAGTTTTGATGGTTTTACCGAACCATCAAAAGTGCAAATGAAGGAGATAAGATATAGAAATGAGTGAGTGAGTGAGAGATTATGGCGCAAAAACCAAAGATGATTATAGCGCGCCAAACATGAGATGGGATGATTACAACTGATGACTTAAATTTCAATAAATAAACAAGTAGACAAATGTACCAAATCCAGAGGATGAAGTCATATAAAAACAAATTAAAAGCACATATTAAAATTCAAGACACAGTCTTCAAAACAAATTACATTTGGTAATAAAAGCCAGTCTCTTTCAAATAATAAAACAAACCACAATTGACCTCTCTTCCAATTAAACGGTCGAGAGGCAAGTCACAGCTATTAAAATATTTCTGGTGAAGCCTATTAAAACATGGACACTCAATTAAAAATATGACGAACAGATAAACAAACAGGCTCATTTTCAGCTTTTAAAAGGTAGCTATGTGTCACTCTAGTGTGACCAATTCTGAGGCGAGTCAAAAGAACTTCCTCCTTACAATTTTTGGTTAATTCCCAGTGCTCAATTCTAGGTTTTACGTGTCTTTAATTTATTTGAAGCTGAACATCCCAAAGTTGCTGCCATTTTTTTTCGGATCTTCTGTTTCACAACACAACAGATGTCTGCAAAAGGGATGAGACGACTGGACAGTTCAACAGCACATTTTGCTGTGATATCTGCCAGCTCATTCCCTTTTATTCCGACATGCCCGGGAACCCAGCAGTACAGGATTTCATATCCACGATTCATTAAGTTTATATGTATTTTGAGAATATCCACTATTACTGGATTTTGAGTATTAGGAAAAGCTTCTAATGATTTAAGAGCACTATATGAATCTGTATAAACTATAAACTTTTTGTAGCAGAGCCCTGAGATGTACAAAAGACTATAATATATCGCAGTTAGTTCGGATGTTAAGACAGAGAAAGCATTGTGCAAGCGTCTGCCCTCCATGTGGTCTTCAATTACAAATGCCATCCCAACATGATCTTTTGACTTGGATCCATCTGTATAAACTGGAAGATAACTGCTATATTTGTCCCTGTGCTCAGCGAAAAGTTGTCTGTAAATAATCTCGTTAGTCCTTGCCTTCACATGATACTTAAAAACATCAAGAAGCTGAATCCGTGCATATTCCCAAGGTGGGATTTCAAAATTCTGTACTGCTTGGGGGTGCATATCAGAGAGGGAAAGTTCCTCAATGACAGGGCGAACTCTTAAAAGAAATGTAGGAACACAGGATGGACGTGTTTCAAATAACGCGTTACACACATCATCAAGTAAGCACAGCTTATTGTGATGTTCAGGTTGGGATAGAATATTAAAATATTGCAAAAGGGACAATTGTTCAC